GGGGATGGGCTAAATGGGTAAGGGGCATGAGGGAATTTACTCCTAAAATCATTGTTGCGCTGTATGCTAACTTGGATGTAAGTTAAAAAATTAATAATTACATGTGTAATTTAAAAAATGAAAGTTTGACTCATTTGATTACCTAAAAATTAAAATCTTAAATGTGAAGAAAAAACTCATGTAGTTTTTTATAATTACCGGGCTTCTAATTTTTTTAATGTTCATTTATATTTGAGAGAGAGATGGGGGAGGGGGGGAGGGGCAGAGAGAGAAGGGACAGACATTCCAAAGCAGGCTCTGTGCTGACAGCAGCAGCCTCACGCAGGGTTCAAACACACTATCATGACCTGAACCAAAGTCGGACACTTCACCAACTGAGCCACAAGTTTCTATTTTAAGATGCAAAATCAATCACATCTTACGACCTCCTTGTTTGCTCAAGACTTTCGAATTTCTGAAGGTAAAATAAAAACTATTCCCTAATTATATTGCAAAACAAAAAAGGAATCCTCTTTTGCTAAGAAACTGAGGAATTCCAGCAAATGGAAAACAGGCGACATGGCAAATGATGTAAAGGAGGCATATTAATATTTATTAATCACTGAGGTTTTTCAATAATGAGCTAATGACAATGAAAGATGAAAGTGTACAATTCAGTATATTTTCTTCTGAAAGTGCTTTCATAAAATAGCTTGCGTTGCTGAGAGCTCTATTCTTCATTCGTATCCCAGATGAACTTCAAGGGAAAATCTTTCATCTGCCTTTTGGAAAATCTTGTCAAAGCTTTCATTCTGTTCAGCAGTCATCTGATTTTTTTCCAGTCTCCAGTGGTACCTGGGAGGAACAGCAGAGAAATTGCTTCACTGAATATTCAAGAAAGTGGGGGCGTAAAGCTCTAGTGTTGGGAGAAGCACCAGTTTTTGGACTTTTATTTTCCTCCCCTCGAAGACCTGGTTGCTCCTGCACATGACCATGAACCTTAACTCTCCCACTTTATGGCAAGGGGGAAAAACAAACTTATCATAGCAATTATGATGTAATTTAAGTAATTAGCCCTACAACTCAGCTGTCAGCCACGTGGAAAAGAAGAAAACTCCTGCGACTTGTGTACTGTCCTGTTGTAGGCTAGCATGGGCTATGGTAGTTTACAGAAGTCCTTTAAAAATTCCCCAAATCAGATATCGTTGGGCAAATATTTACTGATGAGGACGTGGCTGCTCAGAGAGATTTTTTTAAATATAGCATGTTTTCATACAGTCTGGAATGGCATACCTGTAATTATTCAATCTTTAGCCTCTTTAGGTTTACAAGTCTTATTTTAAAATTATAGATGCAGAGCTGGGATGACAAATAGATATTGGTAGAAGGAAAAGCAAAGAACCCTGATTGTAAAATCACTCTGAAGTATAAAAAAATAACTAAACCAAACTGAAATACTAATGAAACTGAAAACGCAAACACAAACTGTGCAGGAATGGTAAAGCCAGTGTAAATTATTTTCCACTTCATAACATCTCTAAGAAAAAAGTGTGTTTATGTGCAGAAGAAACATATGGGAACGTGCTTCACTTTCACAAGGAAATTTGACTACTCCTCTGTGTCTCCTTAGCCATTTCATCTCTCATTTTCAGGTGTGTAAAAAAATGCATAAACACATAAAATTTCCTTTGTTCAAAGAAAAACCACTCTCAATAAATGAGGAAAAACTGGGCAGAACACAAGGATGGCAATAGCGACTAATTGGCCAGTTACTGCAATATCCTCAGATCTGATCTTGTCAGTAGGTAAGAATTGAATCTTTTGTCCATTTCTTTTTTCCCAGTGTGTAAGAACAACCTGGGCACCGGGGCATTCTCTGGATCTTAGTTAACCCAATGTGATGTTTAGTTTCCCACCAGAATGTCTCGAATCCAAGTACAGCTTGTCTCACTCAGGAACTCATGAAAGCAAACAGTGGAGAATGGACTTGCTCCGTTCCCTGAAAGGCAGGCAGAAAACCCTGGTGCAGAAATGCCACAGACCCTGGCAGCAGAGATGGACAGAGAGTTTCAGGATTTTACTGCTGAACCTCAAGTATATGAGAAAAATCCACCTTTGTCGCTCTACATGTTCTCTCTTGTCTTTAAAATTAATTTGATTATTTTCAAGTGAAATAAATTATCCATGTTCATGAACAATATATGTGCATCACAATTAATCTATAAGGCAGTTGCCCTTGAAACCATTAATACTTAACAACAATAATTTTTGGCATTCTGGATTTTCAATGTTGATTTATTTCACCTAGAGAATCCCACTGATTTCTTTTAAAACTGTATATATTTAGCTACTGTTCAGATACTAAGATGCACATTATATTTAAACACAAATTTTTTATGGCCAGAAATCTAATCAGATTCTGGAAATCAGTATAAATATACAGAACACATATGCCATAGAAACAACCCACTGTTAAATTAAACCTAGTAACAGTCTTCCATTATTGGAGCTATCAAAAATGATTTCAGATTATCCAAGATAAAAAGATCAGAAAATTCTAGTGAAGTTAATTTGAAAAGCTGTTGGCAGATCATTGGTTAAGTTTTTAAAAGTTAACTGTAACAACGATTTAATAGAAAGATAGAGACAAGCGACACACACAGACACACGTACACACAAACGCACACCACATTAGTACCAGGATCAATACATGGAAGCCATCACTGGACATCACTTAAAGTTTGGTTGCAGACCACCTACGAATCTCAGACTTCTGGACCTTCCTGAAAATCCGCAAAATCTGAATTTCAATGGAGTGAGGACTTGAAATTTTTATTTTCACCCACAAACCAGAATATGTCTATCTACTGATGGTCGGAAACCACTGTCACAGGGAGTGTGTGTTCTTTTTCAAGTAAATCCTTTGCCTTACCTCATTTGGGAAAGGTAAAATGAGATGGGTCTATGTAAAAAGCAGTATAAATGTGTTATTCATGTAGGCAGAAGCATGTATGTATATTGTGAAATTATTAACCCTATTAATGACCATTGTTTGCAGATTACCTATCAGAAATCTAACTTTTCCCACTGACGAATTGAGGTTGGTACGTTCATCCTCTCCCTAGTACATGATAGTTCAATAACAAAATGTGTAAAGAGGTTTTATGTTAATAAGAGAATTGAACATACTCAGGAGAAGTGGTTCAGAGGAACGGTTTATAAGCCATAGTACATCCCGGCATCAGGAATCACTGGTACAAAACCTGTGCCATGAATGAGGACTTATAGTAGGATAACTCAATTTACTTCAGACCCTTGTGTCCTCTTAGATGCATCTGAGGGTAGAGTACAGTGAAATTCCTACCACAAAGTGTCAACTGACTTTTCTGCTTACACTGAAAGACTAGAAAACCTGAACTCATCATAATTGTCAGGAGGTCAGCAAAACTGGTCAAATCATTGTGAATTCTTCTCCTAAGAATTCTCCTGAGTAGGCAGAATGGAGTAGGTTAGGAGAGGCCAATGCACAATGGCTAAAATTAGTTAAAAAACACAACTAAAATACATAAGTTTTATTGTTAAAGACCATAGATCTCTGGAAACGGAAAGAACTAGCTCAACTAAAATTCCAGAGTGGGAAGAGCCTTTTTTAGGTATCCTCGTGTCCTTTCCTCAGAGCATTTGCCAAGTATGGGCTCAGGTCACATTTTGAAACTAGAACAGGAGAATAAAGAACTAAAATCCACACCACTGAAGAGAAGAGCTAAAGAGAGGAGGTAAATACTCTCATTTCTAAGGGCTAAGGAGAAACACACCCCCTGGTCTCTCAGTGGAATGGGGATGAATCAGACAGATTTGAATCTTGTTAAATTGAAAACTCATTTTGCCCAACTCAATCCATAATTGGACACTGAATGCTAAAAGAAGAATATTAAGGATTTTTTATTTCTAGAGTAACACAGAGCAAGTTTGAATGAGAGTACTAACACTATATATTTTCTCAAGGTAAATTTCATTTCCTCTCTTCACCTCTTGTTTTCTGTTATGAAACACCACCTATCTCATGAGCATTTTTTTAAATAAAGGAAATAATGCATATGTAATTCTAAAGTTGGTATCTTGTTCGCAGAAGGTGCCTATATACAAAAATATTTTTTTAAACAATATTTCCTTTCTGCTACCACACATAAACCTTTTTTGAGAAGATAAAAGAAGGGAGCAGAAAAGATATGTTTCTCTAAAGGCGTGCATCACCTAAGCCACAGCTGTGGAATTTACGAACTCTTGGAAGAAAGGAGTTCAGAAAAGCAGGAGACAATGTAGCAGTAGTGGGCTCCTGGGGATGTGAAATCCTTTCCTAATAGAAGGATCAGGGACCTTTATAACTTTTCTTAAACGTGCAGCATAGGAAAGAAATTATGTATGTTACTTAAGAAAGATGAACAGAGCAATGAGCAAATGGAAATAAAGGCACTGATGCAGCCAGCAACCCCGAGTTGGGCACAGACACACAAAGATACAAGTGGGTCTACAGAATCTGATGGACGGCAGCATCCACACCCCCACAAGCCTAGACTGACCGTACTATTTTCAATGAGCCAGCCTGACCACAAGAAACCCAGTGTATGCCTGAGCAGGCAAAAGTCCATGAGAAAAGGAGAGCAGTTAGAACACTTGACTCAAAAATATTCTCCTCCCAATATCTACAGATACCTTCTATGCTGGCATAGGATAATCTTCACAGGAAATGAGCAAGGTTAATGTAAGGACCAGGTGTCCTTACAAAATGACTGGAAAGAAAACACAAATAAGTGTGAGTATAAATACCTCTGAATGGGAACACTCAACTAGTGGTGATGTCAATTTTTATGTGACATTTTAGGAGTAAAGCAACACTTAGCAGAATTCCAACACGGTACATCATGATTTATTGGTTTATTAATCTATGTTAGAAATTAGGGCATAGTTATAAAAAAGAAAATTATATCGACAGAAAATATGTCATTTTACATAAGAAAATGTATGTACATACAATATTGTAGAACAAGATAATGTCCGTTTTAATCAGTAGGAAAATGATGTGAATTCAATAAATGATTTTGGGCCATTTGGCTATCTGTTAGGAAAAAAAATTGACAGGTATCTAACAACAAAAGATAGATATTAAGATTAAATAAAGAAATGATTTATGAATACATGGAAATACTTGTGATAGCAACACTCCTAGTTGGACACAAATCCTAGAAGCCATAAAATGAAAGGCTGACTCATTTGATTACCTAAGAATTAAAATCTTAAATATGAAAAAAGACCATAAGTAGTTTTTTATAAATGACAAGGCTTCTATTTTAAGATGTCAAATCAATCACATGTTATGGTCTCCTTTGTGGTTCAAGGCTTTGGAATTTCTGAACTTAAGGTAAAAACTATTCCATAATTATACTGCAACACAAAGAGAGGAAACCTCTTCTGATCAGAAAGTGAGGAATCCTAGCAAATTGAAACAGGCCACAGATGGCAAATGATGTAGTGTGGGCATATTAATATTTATTCATCAATGAGTTTTTTCAATAATAAGCCAATGACAATCAAAGATGAAAGTGTACGATTCAATATATTTCCTTCTTGAAAGAAGTTCCGTAAAAACATTTGTGCATTGTTAAGAAATCTATTCTTCATTCATATCCCAGATGAACTTCAAGGGAATATCTTTCATCTTCGTTTGGAAAATCATGTCAAACTTTTCATTCTGCTCAGCAGTCATGTGATTTTTCCAGTCTCCAATCGTACCTGGGAGGAACAGCAAAGAAATTGCTTCAAGGCAGATTCTGGGAGGAGGAGGCATGATGCCTTTGTGCTGGGAGAAACACCATTTTTTGGACATTCATTTTCCTCCCTAGTAAGGCCCCTGTTGCTCCTGCACATGGCAATGGCCCTTTTCTCTCCCACTTTATGGCAAGGGGAAAAGAAAACTCATCACAATTAGGTAATTTAAGGTAATTAGCTCAAGCCCTGAGCTGTCAGCTACCTGACAAACGAGAAAACTCTTGCAACTTGTTGACTATTTTGTTTCAAGCTAACATGGGCTATTGCAGTTTACAGAAGTCCTTAAAAATTCCAAAAATCAGATATCATCAGACAAATATTTACTGATGAGGACATGGATGCTCAGAGAGATTTTTAAAATATATTCCAAGCTCATACAGTTTGGAATGGCCCACCTGTAATTATTCCATCTGTACCCAGTGTAGGTTTACAACAATCTTACTTTAAACTTACAGACACAGAGTTGGGATGGCAAGTAGAGGCTGATAGAAGGAGGGGCAAGAAACACTGAATGTAAAATCACGCTAAAGTGTAAACAAATAAATAAACCAGCTTCAATGCTAATGAAACTGAAAACACAAACACAATTTGTGCAAGAGTGGTAAAGCCAGTACAAATGACATTACACTTCATAACATCTAAGAGAAAAGTATGTGCAGAAGAAACAAGGGAATGTGCATCATTTCCGTAAGGAAATTTGGCTTCTCCTATTTGTTGTCTCGGCCATTTCAGTCTCTCGTTTTTCAGGTGTGTTAAAGATGTGTAACCACAGAAAATTTTCTTTTTTCAAAGAAGAAAAATGCAAGTGCCATGATGATGGCATTGGAGAAGGGTTGTAGCATCTACAACATGACAGGGTGCGCTGAGGGTAAAGGGAAGGGCATGTCCCCACTTCAGGTTGGCTCCAAGTTACCAGTGTTTCACATTTTTTAATTGAATGGGTGAAGATGTACAAAGTAGTTAAGTGAAGGAAATACTAATGTATTTAAGCCACTATTTATTGCGATTGGTGTAGAGGCATAAAACATTCTGATTAAGTGTAAAATTTATGTCAATACTTCTGTATTATCGATTTTCCAGGTACTAAGAAGATCATACATTTTAACTTAGAATAATTTATAAAATAATAAAAATATTCTAACATGTTCACATTTATCATTTATATGAAGGAATCATTCATTTAAAAATGCACTCACCAGAGGTATCATATTGAGATAAAGGAGATATTCCTATACATTTTTATGATGGAAGATTCTTTTGTTACTGGGCAGGACTATTATGTATACTATATTATTATATGTGTGTGTGTGTGTGTGTGTGTGTGTGTGTATACTATTATATGTATACATAATAGTCCTCCCCAGTAACAAAAGAATAGTGAATATGTGTTGTTAATTCAGTCCTGGACGAGGTTCAGACTAAATCACAGAGATGGAAGAACAGCCAGTGATGGCCAACTGTGCCACCATTAATTCATCATCATGTGCCTAGCCCATTGTACTGGGGGAAAATAGTCTAACACTAAATGAACATCCCTTTTGTGGTAGACATGGTGATAGGCATTGGTAGATTTCCAGGGGCCAAGGAGAAGGCCTTGCAACTTCAGGCTATTCATCCAGACACATTCTGGGACCAAATAATATAGTCTCTTGAAGAGCACCAAGAAGAAATCATGGAAAATCAACTGTGTAGGGAAGGGAACAGGGCCATAGCAGCTCCACATCAGGAAAGCTTAGAAGCTACACTTCGGTACGTTTGTATCACAGTGAAAGATAGCCAAGCATTTATTGTTCAACATCACCTTTGCGAAGGAAATGACCTTTTTTTTGTATCCCAAAATGGGCCTTGAGTTTATTGTCATAATTGGCTCGTGGGTCATTCTTCATGTTTTCAAACGTGGCCTGTCTCACAACAGCATCCACGTCCTCTTCACTCAATTCTTTCCCCAAAAATTTGCATACTTTTAACACAGAGCCTCTGAGGTCCTGAAATAAATCATAATATGATAAATGATGCACATTATAAGAAAGAAGACACACACAAAAGTCACAGCTAAATATCATTATGGGAGTGAAAAATGTAGGTGCTTAGGATACTTAGAAAAGTGGAGCAGGACCATGAGAAGGTTCTTGCTTATTCCTTCTTGATAAATTAATTCCTCCCTTGTCGACTGTTTTAGAGTGCATATTAGGAACACTCATATTTCATTTTATTTGTGTTGAGTGGGCAAGTATTTGGTGAATAGCTACTATATGTCAGATACTGCCCTAAATGATGGTGCAAGTGAACAGAGGCACAACAGGGAATCAGTTCTGGGAATTCAGTACAAGTACTTACTGGCAAAGAGTAATTATGTAACAGAATTCAGAGAAAGTTCCTCAAAGATGAGAAATTTGTTCTGGGAATTAAACCAAAACCAGGACTTTTTTGATAGACAAACTGAAGATACAGTGTTTAAATCAAAAAAAGAATATCTGCAAAATTGTGGTTGCATGGGAGGTGTGGGATCTCAGGTCACAGGAGTATGAGAATTTGAGTTTCTCTGGGGCTATATGGGAACAGGTCTGGGATGAGAAAGATGGGAGATGAGTCTGTAAGCAATAGAAGGACAATCAACAAAACTAAAAGGCAACTGACAGAATGGGAAAAGATATTTGCAAATGACATATCAGACAAAGGGCTAGTATCCAGAATCTATAAAGAATTCACCAAACTCCACACCCGAAAAACAATCCAGTGAAGAAATGGGCAGAAGACATGAATAGACACTTCTCTAAAGACATCCAGATGGCCAACAGGCACTTGAAAAGATGCTCAATACCACTCCTCATCAGGGAAATACAAATCAAAACCACACTCAGATATCACCTCATGCCAGTCAGACTGGCTAAAATGAACAAATCAGGAGACTATAGACGCTGGAGAGGATGTGGAGAAATGGGAACCCTCTTGCACTGTTGGTGGGAATGAAAACTGGTGCAGCCGCTCTGGAAAACAGTGTGGAGGCTCCACGAAAGACTAAAAATAGATCTACCCTATGACCCAACAATAGCACTGCTAGGAATTTACCCAAGGGATACAGGAGTGCTGATACATAGGGGCACATGTACCCCAATGTTTATAGCAGCAGTTTCAACAATAGCCAAATTATGGAAAGAGCTTAAGTGTCCATAAACTGACTAATGGATAAAGAAGATGTGGTTTATATATACAATGGAATACTACTTGGCAATGAGAAAGAATGAAATCTGGCCTTTTGTAGCAACGTGGATGGAACTGGCGAGTGTTACGCTAAGTGAAATAAGTCATACAGAGAAAGCCAGATACCATAAGTTTTCACTCTTATGTGGATCCTGAGAAACTTAACAGAAGACCATGGGGGAGGGGAAGGGGGAAAAATTACAGAGAGGGAAGGAGGCACACCATAGAGCTCTCACTTAAAAACTGAGAGCCATGAGGGCCTGGGTAGGCGCCCAGTGGAGTTAGCGTCCACTTCAACCAGGTCACGATCCTCACGGTCCGTGATTCGAGCCTTAGCGACTCTCTGGGCTGATGGCGCCAGAGCCTGGAGCTAGGTCTGTCTCCCTCTCTCTGCCCCTCCCCCGTTCATGCTCTGTCTCTCTCTATCCCAAAAATAAATAAACTTTGAAGAAAAAAAAAAATTAAAAAAAAAAAAAAATTAAAAAAAAAAAAAAAAACTGAGAATAAACTGAAGGTTGATGGGGGGTGGGAGGGAGGGGAAAGTGGGTGATGGGCATTGAAGAGGGCACCTGTTGGGATGAGCACTGGGTGTTGTATGGAAACCAATTTGCCCATAAATTTCATATAAAAAGAAAAAAAGAAGGGCCATATTGTGAAGAAGATTACAAGGCCAGCCAGACACTCGAATCTCTATTTCGTAGGTGATATGCACTCAGCCAGAGACTCTAGATTTGGTATATGCCCTATGGCAGGGGTAACAGAAGCTAGTGACACTCAGCAGGTGGCAGCCTTTAGGGTCGCCGGCCTTTCAGCTCTTTCTCTTCTTTCCTGCTAAGAGATCCTGGTGGTGTCCTGGCAGCAGTGCCCAGCCACATTCCATAATGATCATTATTAATCCAAATTCCTCGTGGCAATCCCACTGTCTGCTACAAGAGATTAGTTTAGGGTGGTCACATGGCCCAATTTGGGTATTGGGTCTGAAAGAGGAAGTCAAACAGAAGTTTCTGAGAGTGAGTTTCCTCATGGAGCAAAGGTGGGAACAAAGCAAGGCAAGAATGCCACTTTTCTCCCCGTTAACACTCTGTCTGCCATGTGAGCTATCATGTGAGGACATGACTTTGGAGCTACAACTGTCCTGCTACCATGAGGGAAACATCGTCATCACACCAAATATGGTACAAAAGAAACACAGAAAACCCTGGGATATTCTTGACATGCATGAGCCAAACACCCAGCATCAGGGTAGCCTGGCTCTGGGTTTTAGTCAGTAAGCAATAAAAGTTTTCTTTTCAGGCACATATAGTTGACTGTACTGGGAGCTGAATTCTTTCTAATCATACACAGGTATTTTCATTTAATTTTCCCTGCATGGTTTAATCATACACAATACAGACAAGATTAAAGTTCCCAAGAAATGTACCTGCAAGTGAGGAACACACATCTACAACATTAGTATAATTAAAAATTGAAGGAAATAGATATAACAATTCACAAAAGAGAAACCAATAATCTGGCTCAAAATAATCAAATCATTCACACCAACATACATAAACAGACATCTATTGACACACAGATAAATTTTGAAAAGAAACCTCCAGTGGTAGTTCTAAATGGAAACCTGGTAAAGAAAGCATAGAAGTGATACAGGAAAAATGTCTCCTGGTACACAATCTGGGTTCTCAAATTTGATATCATCCTTTGGGTGTTCTGGGCATAAACAATCAATTCATTCAGCCAGGCTGGCTTACAGCGTCAGTGAAGTCAGTAATGTCACATTTCTCACCTTCTTCATCTCCTCATACATCAAGAACTGAATGTTGAACAGGCTTTTGTGCTCATACCAACCTTTGATGTGGTCAAACCAAAGACTTCCTACCACTGTGGGGAGAACAGATACATCATTAAGTAAATATGTTGAACACATTGAGAAGAATCTACAGTCCTAGGAGATGCAGGAGTAACAAAGTAACAAAGGAGGAAAAGGAAGTGTGCTGCTAGATTCCAGATTTCCCCTAGCATCTGGTTGTGGGAGAACCATCCAACTTCCACCAGGAAACCAACAGTCAAGGAGAAATTAGTCTCTTAAAAATGCATTTCATATAAATAGCAAATAATCTTGCCATGGGGTTAGAAAAACTGAAAAGGGAAAGGAGGAATGAATCCTCTCCTTACTTCTCCCACTATCCCCAAAGGCACATGGAGGTATTTCCACTCTGCAAGGAGCACGAGAGGTCTCTGAAGAGTCACTTCAGCTCTGCCACAATGCATTGGAGACAATCGTAAGTCTGTTCCAGATCATCACGTTTACTTCTGCAAGCTTTGTTCCTGGTCAAATAGCTGCACTGGCTCCTCAGATAAGAATGTGGTGAGCACCTGTTTTGCTCAATGGATAGAACATGCAACTCTTGACCTCAGAGTTGTGAGCCCCATTCTGGGTGTAGAAATTACTTAAACAATGAATAAAAATTTACTAAAATATTTCTTTTTTTTTTTAATTTTTTTTTCAACGTTTATTTATTTTTGGGACAGAGAGAGACAGAGCATGAACGGGGGAGGGGCAGAGAGAGAGGGAGACACAGAATCGGAAACAGGCTCCAGGCTCTGAGCCATCAGCCCAGAGCCCGACGCGGGGCTCGAACTCAGGGACCGCAAGATCGTGACCTGGCTGAAGTCGGACGCTTAACCGACTGCGCCACCCAGGCGCCCCTAAAATATTTCTTAAAGGACTCTTGGGAGGAGCCCCTTGAAATATGAAGTGCAAAGCTCCAAACGTACGCTCTCCCTGAGCTACTTCTCACTAAGCTAGGACAGAAATCTGTGTGCTAGTGAAATAATCTCTCCATGGTTAGATGTAATTATTCTCTGTTGGTATGACTGTAATCTTGACATTCTGTTGAGAAAGAGAGAGAGTTAGCAATATTTGTACAATGGCTGGACACGGTCACCTAAGACAACACTACCAACTGGCTTGATACGTTGATTACTGATCCCCATTCTACTCTACTTAAGCAAACTCTTTCTCTCTGCTAGAGCTTAAAAACTCACCACAGGACACCAAACTTAGTATTTTATGAAATTTTAGTTACCTTCTCCTTCTAGAAATACTTTCATGAATTCCACAAAGTTATCTGTAGTGGATGCTGTCAGTTTCTTTAAAAAGTGAAAAAATGAGCACATAACATCCTTAGGGTTTCTGTATATGTAAATAACCTGGAAAGAAAGGAAGTATTCATTATATCTGATGCTTTCATAATGTCATATTTGTACCCTAATGCCCTCCAACTGAATGAAGCCTGTTAGCTTAACTTTACAGTTTCTAATCATGTCTTGTATATATTCAGCCCTCTTTGTATTTTGCATTTCTCCTCTGCAATGGCTCTCCCTTAATGATTGGGAGACTTAATTATTGGTGACTATCAATTACCTCACATGGTACCTCTTCTTACTCCCCTAGACAGAAACCAACAATATTCTCCTGTCCCTACCTCAACAAGCTAACATATGTGAAAATATCTCATAGCTATACAATTATGGCAATAGGAAAAACTTACTAAGATATTTTCAAATCATCTGTGAAAGTTTAGATTGTATTTCTCTCATCCTTCAGTGCATGGTTCACATAATTCTTATATATCTTCACAGTATAAAGCACAAGTACTTGACCCGTAGTAGTTACTTCTTCAATATTTTTTGCATTGAAGGACTATGAGATTTAACTTTAAAAATGTATATTGTAACCAATCAGAAGCCATAATTTCATAAAGCAGTGAAGCAACCCAAAGACATTAAAAATACAAAGTATTGGGGTGCCTGGGCGGCTCAGTGGGTTAAGCGTCCAACTTCAGCTTAGGTATGATCTCATGGTCCAGGGGTTTGAGCCCTGCATCAGGCTCTGTGCTGACAGCTTAAAGCCTGGAGTCTGCTTTGGATTCTGTGACTCCCTCTCTCTCTGCCCCTCCCCTGACCATGCTCTCTCTATACATAATAAATAGAACAAAATATATAAGGAAACTGGGAAAAGGAGTGGTTTGAAGATAAAATCAAAACTCCTTTTGGCATTGGAGCCCATATTTGGATAATACCTATATAGAAATATATTTGACATCTCTATAGATATAGAGTTATTAAATACATCAATCTAGAACTAAAGGGAGAAATCGACAATACATACATTGTATTTAACTTACATGATTAGATCATCTAACTGAGGGATTAACTACAGAGGGAGAATAGGAGAAGGCCAGGCCGAAAATCTGGGAATCATCAGCTCTCAGAGGTTGGACAGAGAAGGAGAAGCCAGTAAAGAGGAAGGGCAGCGTCTCAAAACGTAATCGTGTAAGTTAGAAAAGATCTCGCGTAACATTTCCTAAATAGTAAAAGCATCAACTTTTCTCACAAAAAGCCAAAGCCCGAGACGAGAGTGCAACAGGTTAGGTTAACTCATCATCTCGATGTAGTCATGGACTGAGTCTCCTACTTTTCCACTGTGACATGCTAACCCTTCTTTATGTCCCACACAGCTGCCACTTTTCATCCCCATGGTCAATTAAAATAATGAAGAAACCTTCTTTCAGAGGACACGAAAGAAACTTCTTCTTTGCTTGTGTTGTTGTTCATAAGCTTGTCACTTACCTGTGCCTTAAAAATCAATGGCAAGATGCCTGGTACCAAGCCCTGCTTTTGCACCAACCAAATTTTACCACTCTAACCATCAGACCAGAAGCATATACAGGATACAAATCCAAACAAAATGAGAGCTCTGCTGAAATGAAATATGAAGAGAGGGAAAGGTTTTTGGGTAGAATCTCCTCTAAGTGTCCACTGAGATAATATGATACCACGAATGTGGTGTCTGGAACAGCAGGAAAAGAAAATGTTTAAAGACGTAGAAAGTGATCAACTATGTCAGATGCCAGTGATAGGCCAAGTAAATTGATCAAGAAATGATCCCCCCTTTTCAAAACTATAATAATAAGGGACGTTGGCATTCAGGATTCAGTGAAAGCGCGGAGAAGGAGGCTAAACGCTTTTAAGAAGTTTATCTCAAACAGAAAATGAAAGGCAGAAAATGAAAATTGAAATGGAGCAAGACAAGTTTTATTTTACTGTTAAAAAATGCCACATGAAAACTTCATTATGGGCCAAGCAGAATGATCCAATCAGCATAAGGAAATTGGTAATGAATGAAAAAAAGGAAATTATATTGCTTAAGGAAAGTCTTTGAGAGTAGAACAAGTTTCTCAACAGTGGCACCATGGACATTTCCCCCAGATAACGGTCTGTGGTTGGGACTACCGTAAGCATCATGAGACATTTAACAGCATCCCAGGCCTCAACCCACTATAACTAGCAGCACCACCACCATAACCAAAAATGCCTCAAATATGCTAAATATCCTGTGGGGAATATGCAGAGCTGAGAGCTGATGATTCCCAGATGTTGGCCTGGCCCGACTCCCATTTGCGAAACAGTGGTACAGACAAAAGAGATCCAAAAAGGGATCCAGACCATGAATGGAGGGGCAGATATATAATAAGAACAAAACTGTGTACACATCCCACCTTTTCCTCTTAAGGAGGGACAGCAGTGAGGGGAGGTTTTGCATGTGGAGGGCATCTACTGTTAATGGTTTACTTGGAGTCTTTTACTGGGATAGGTGGAGCAGAATGCTGCTGAGGTTTGAGAAGATAAAGAAAGTATGAAAAGTCAGTATGGAAAGGGGGGGAAGCAAAACATTTTTAAAAAGTAAAGTGTGAGAATTGTGGCCATAAATGTAAAGAAAGACACAATTTTTAACTGTTTTGATTTTTTCTGACCACACTACCAGATTCATGAATATAGGTACTAATATAAAACAATTGTGTTTCAGCAGAAGTAAGGGTTGGCAACAAATCATAACAGTTGAATTAGCGAAAGAATTTAGACAAAAAGGATTTGAATTTAAAATGTAGAGTCATTGGTGGGCAAGGAGCAATTGAGGACACGCATATATATGAGAGTGAGTGTGGGGAATAGGAGTGGGGAGGGGGCTGGAGAAATGAATGTGCTGACACATCACTGCACGGAACACCTGAAAAGAGCAGGAGGAAAAGGAGACAGCACTCAGGTAATAAGGTACTTGAAGCAAAGATCCGCATTAGGGCAATTACTGGTGATCCCTTTTGTCATTCACTCAACTCTAATGCCTTCTGCACAGGGTTCTATGCACTACAAATTCCATCTGTCTCAAGGGTTTTACACTGTGGCCAGAAACATAGACAATAAATAAACAGGTAAGTATGTATTACATCAGAAAGCAAAAACAGTCATAGACAAAGGCAGGTGCATAACACGTGGGTTGCAGAAGAGGGTTACTGAGGTTGGTGGAGGAAAAGTGGCTGGAGTTTAAATCAACCGGAGAGGCCTGGCAGGGCTAGGGTCTGGGAGGCCAGTGCAGAGCCTGACGGGTCAACCTGAAGGAGGCAATCCCACACTTGTGTGGCCCTGACAGGAAGTGCCTCCTTCATGTCGATCCTTTGAGTGCAGTTGGCCTCACTCCTATCTGGCCAGCCAGAGACCATGTACATCAACTTTGAAATAATCCCGAGTCAGAGGAGTGGAGGTAGAGAGGGAGAAAATGAGTCAAGAGTTGAAATTATCAGTGGGTGGAGGTGACTGATACTGGGAGAGACAGAAAAATCACTCAGTAGATACAAATGATTCTCTCTGAGCTTCCCTCAGATTTCCAATGAACTCGGTACATTTACAGAGAAAGCGGCCAAAACAGGTTGGAAGCGTCAGAAGGAAGCGAGGAGAGCATACAGAAAAAAGAAAAAGGAATTGTTGGCAGTTTATATACACATGGTAATATAGCTAACAAATGAGAGGGTATATAATATATAATGTATATGATATTATAATATACTCTATGAAGTAAATTAAATACACTCCTATATAGTCTCATTTTCCAATGGTTGTGTTCCATATGTGATCAGAAAACAAAGGGTGAAAGATAAAATCAGATACTGGAAGATAAGAACACAAAAGTCTGTTGAAAATTAATGCACGACAAATACCACATTTGCTAACACCTGGACGAGTGCAGCATCAATGTAATGAATAGAAATGAAATAGTGAAAAAGCAGTTGTCTTTCAGCAGCCATAGTCTATTTTCCTACTTTGGCTTTTTTGTTCTTTAGCCCCCTGGGAGCCAAGTAGTATGGGATGTGGGTAACGAAGAGACGAGGAGATGGCTTTTCAGCAAAATCCACTTTTTGAGGGGCGTACTCAATAAACGGGATGCGTTCAACTGTTTCCAGATCCCCAATGCCTTTGCGATGTTCTTCAAAATAAATCGAGCATAATATCTGCTGAAACCAGACAGTACCTGTAAAAGAAATAATTTTGTTTTAATGATGTGAAAATTTATCCAAAAAGTATATAGATGTGTCATCAGTTTTTTAATCAGAGGTTGTTATTATAATACGTACAAAGGTAATTTTGTCTCAATGGAATTTTTAATATATAAAGGGTGCAGTGTGGGTAAAGACAAACATACGTTGCCTTTGCTTTTCCTTATAAGGAGATTCTACATGTGAAACTCCATGGGCATTTGTCCCACAAATTTTTCTTGAGTCTTCTGTACTTTCTTCTGCTTCATATATGGGAATTTTAAATTATCTTCTATGCCTGCCTCAAGATGTCCTTCCCCAACCCCACTCCTAGGACGTTAGCTAATATAGAGAAAAAAAAATTGGCATTTTACTGATAGAGTCACTTTCCATCTTTCCCCCATTCCCTATGTTTCTTACTGTGCCCATGATGTCACTTCGGGAAATAGTGTTCATTATAAATCCCTAAAGGAGGCCCTGTGATCCACACGGAGACAGGAAGGAAAAGATTAGACCTTTTGCTGTAAGTGGGATGTGACAAATTCTAAGGGTGACTATTTCTCCCAATTCCAATTAGAGTGGACATATGTCACAGAATACACGGGTGTACTGCCTACTCTAGATTCCTTCCACTTCATTTTGCATGCTTCATATATGGGAATATTAAGAGTTAAAACACACCTTCTGTAAGGTCATGCTTCTCATATATACAGGCAATGCTTCAAAAACCTACCCCAACAAGAAGTCACATGTCCCAGAAAGGTTCAAATCAACATCTTAAATGAGAAAGTACATTGGCCCCTCATCAATTCACATCCTATAATTCCTTCCTGACACCACCCTATCACCCTGCCTGTGAAGCAGCAGCACCTGGTAAGCAAGATCATTGTTAAGAATACATGCCCTTGCTGTCAGGTGGTATGCACCTTTTCTGGAGCATGATGGGTATAAATCCTCCAGTGTTGCCCAGGGAAGACCAAGATCATGTGTGCTTACATGTTACCACAGCTGATGTTCGAACACAATGAAAATTCATTGTTATGAAGCTCTAAAAGGGTTTCTTACATTCTCCAACCTTTCCCAGATAAGAGGTACTGCTTCTGCATCAGGTATCACAGCTTCAGGGGTGCCGAGGAATTACCAAACATGACCTTAATGGGTCACAAGTCTGAAGAAATTTAAGACTATGAGGACTGGAAGAACGTGTTCCCCAGGCAAAATAGGCTGCATTTTTCCTGTCTTTGTCCTCTCTCCTGCTTCTGCTTCCATATCCACTCCCCTATCACAACCTATCTTTCTCGTTTTCTCTTTTCTTTCTTCCTTCCTTCCTTCCTTCCTTCCTTCCCTTCCTCCTTCCTTCCCTCCTTCCTTTCTTCTTTCTTTCTTTCTTCCATTCTTTCTTCTTTCTTTCTTTCTTTCTTTCTTTCTTTCTTTCTTTCTTTCTTTCTTTCTCCTTCTTGCCTTTTTGGATGTCAGAGGTTAATGTAAGTTGATATTTATCATTTTCTGCAGTCATGCTATACTAACATCACTGATTCACTGCAGGCACTCCAAGGTCTATTAATTCCTTATATTCACATTTCCTGCTTCCATTCCTACCCCTACTTCCACCACAGACAAGAAGACTTTAGGGTTTAAAGTATATTCTTTCTTGGAAGATGTTCTTTTGAAATATGTATTGTTGTATGTGCTTGATTTTTAATCCATGCACGTCATTTCTTACTGTTTGTCACTGTGAGCTGTGGTTTAACATTCCTTTACATGCTACTGCTGATCCATTGCACCTAACAGATGCTGTCTGTGTTTCAGGGTGTGCATTCATGCACTGACCTGTCTAATTTCCCCCAATGGACAGCACACCCCAAACAACACTGCCACATACACCCTCACTCATGTTGCCTATGAACCCATATGAGATATTCTTGGAGACATATACTCAGGAGCAAAATTGCCTGGTATGTCTGTATTTCAGTTGATCAGATAGTGCCAGACTGCTCCCCAGAGAATGGCTGCTTCAGTCTACTCTCCCAGCAGTATCATGCTAAAGCATGCAGATGTGTGTGTACTCCTTGTCAGCATTCAGGGTTTCTGACCTTTCTAATTGCTGTCAGTGTACTAGATATAAAGCAAGTGACTATTGTGTACCAGCTTTGTGTTTTTTTGTTGGTATTGGTGGAGAGTGGTTTCCTTCGGTAAACTTTCAGCTCATCTCTTTGGCTCTTTTTATAAGTAGATCACTGTTCTCTTCCAGTTGATCGGTATATATACCTAATATATTCTAGGTATTAATTATTTTTAATTATACTCATTGCCAGTAGTTCCTCTCTTTCAGACACTATTAACTTTGCCTAGGGAACTCACTGTTAAGCAAAGCCCAAAAATCTTAATTTTGATGCAACTGAATTTATCAAACTTTTACCTGTATATTTTTCTTTGGACATTTGTGTAGAAGCTCTTGACCACTCCTTAGTTACAATGATTTTTCTACAATATTTTTAATAGAAATAGTTGTATAATTTTACCTTTAATATTGGTGTCTTGAATACACTTAGAGTTTACTCTTTTATGTGCTGTTCGATTCCAGGTGAACTTCCTGCGTATAGTGACACAGATTTCCTGGGACCAAATATACTATCTTTTCCCCATTAATAAATGCACCTTACTTAAATTTATATTGAGTTCTGTTATACACATGAAATTCTTTTTTAGGTCTTTCCTGTTCTTCTGGGTTATTTGTTCTTGTCTAAATGCTATGATGTGCTTCCTAAGGATGGCTTTGTAAAGAATGAACAAATTAAGTATGTAGATATATGGTATAGTATAAGGTGATATGTGTTATATTATGGAGGGAAAATAAAGCAGCAAAGAAGAGTGTGAGAATTTTGAGTGAGGCTGCATTTTTAAATATGACCATCCAGAATGCCTTAATGATAATACAAGTTTAAAATAAGGACCCAAAGGAAGGGAGTAAACCATGCACATATCAGGTAGAAGAGCATCAAGGGAAAAAGATTATGTGAGTGCAAAGAGCCAGAGATAGGAACATGTCTGTTAAATTGAGGTAGAGCAAGAGAATCAGTGTTTTCTGGGGGAAAAAAATATTAAAAACATTTTTTTCTAACAAATATTTTAAGAATTAGTAACAATCCTTCACAGACTCTTCCAAAAATAAAAAAAGTGGGGACACTTCCCAATTCATTTTACAAGGCTAACATTACCCAGCTAAGTACCAGAAAAGACACTAGAAGAAAAGAATGTCACAGGCCATCAGCTTGATAAATATAGATGCAAAAAATCCCCAATAAAATATTAGCAAACTGAATTCAACAACACATTAAAAGGATCATACACCATGATCAAATACAATTCATTCCAGGGATGCAAGGATGGTTCAACATCCACAAATAGAATAGTTTGATAATGCATTAAAAAATGAAGCATAAAAACCATATTATCATCTCCATAAATACAGAAAAAATTCAACAGAATTGAATATTGTTCATCATAAAAATTCTCAACAAAATGTAGAAGGAACATAACTCAATATATTAAATGCCATTTATGACAAGATCATAACTAACATCTTTCTCAATAGTAAGAATTTCAGTTTTCCATCTAAGATCATAACCAGGGCATCTAAAGTAATGACCAAGATCAGACACTTCTCACTAGTTTTACTGGAAATCCTAGCCAGAGCACTTAGACAAGAAAGAGAAACAAAAGGCATCTAAGTTGCAGAGGAAAAAGTAAAAGTGTCTTTATTTGTACATGATATTATATATCAAAAACCCTAAACATGTCACCAAAAATTCTGTTAGAACTAATCATTTAAATTCAGTGAACTTGCAAGATATGAATCAGCATACAAATATAACTTGTATTTCTATAAGCTAACAATAAACTATCAGAAAGAGAAATTAAGAAAACAATCCCATTTATGATAGCATCAAAAAGGAGAAAATATATAGGAATAAATTCACCTATGGAAGTAGAAGACTTACACATTGGATATTGTAAAGTACTGATAGAAGGAACTGAAAAAAAAATACAAATATATAGAAAGACATTCCTGTTCATGGGTTGGAAGAACTAATATTGTTAAAATCCCATACTACACAAAGAAGTCAGCAGATTCAATGCAACCTTTATCAAAATTATCATGACATTTTTCACAGAAATAAAACAAATAACCATAAAATTTTTTTGCACCATATAAGACCCTGTGTAGCCAAAGCAATCTTTAGAAAATACAACTGAGCTAAAGGCATCACATTTATTAGTTTCAAATAATATTAAAAATTTATAGTAATCAAAACATTATGGTATTGGCATAGAAACAGATGCATAGATCAGCAGAGCAAGAGAGTGGGCCCCAAATTAAACATGTATAATCAACTAATTTCTGACAAAGGAGCAAAAAATATAGGGTGGACTCTTCAATAAATGGTATTGGGAAAACTGGACTGGCATAGGCAAAAGAAGAATATGAACCACTCCCTTAAACCATACACAAAGTTAACTCAAAATGGATTAAACCCTGAATGTAAGACCTGAAACAACAAAACTCCTATAAGAAAACAAGGGCAGTAGTGCCCCAAAATTCATGCTGGCAATGATATTTTGGGACATGACACCAAAAGCAAATGCAGCAAAAACAAAATAAGTAAGTGGGAGTATATCAGACTGAAAAGTTTCTGCACAGCAAAGAGCCCAAACAAAATGAAAAGGCATATTGAATGAAATAAAATATTTGGAAATCATATTTCTCATAATAGGTAATATCAAACCATATAGAGAACTCATACAACACAGCAGCAAAAAACATTCCCCCCAATCCCATTAAAACACAGGTAGAGAATACCCCACATCATGGTACTAGGCACCTTCAACCCATGGTCTTTGAAGGTGAGAATGAAAGGGTCCAGGCAAGGTGTAGAGAAACTTATTAATCCAGCGATTTCCCTCTTCATTCTCAGCAGTATATCTTCTATCTATACCTGGCTATGGAAGGGACCACCCTACTGTGGGATCAATGGGATACCTGTGGTTCGGCCTCCCTAATGTCATTCACATTGAATGGGGATGAGGCCGGACAGTGGCTCATAGAGCTGAGTATGAGCCCTAGCTGTGGGCTAGAAATGTCCTTAATAAACATCCTTATTTTTCAAAAAATAAAAATAAAAAAATAAAACACAGTTAGAGAATGTAAATAGATGTATGTGTAGGCCCACACACACAAAATGTATGTATATATTCTACACATATATATGAGTGGTATCAAAAATAAGACCCAAAGTATTTGGGGAATGATCATAATTAGTATAAGTTCAATTTCCTCTTTCTCAGGTACTTGGTCATTAAATACAGCTTCAAGTATGTCCCAAGAAGCTGCCTAAATGGCAAATATTCCTGTGTCCTTTCCCAGCCCACTTCAGCAACTCAGTGTTTGATAGGGTTTCGTCAATCTCTCTCCTTCTTCATTATGCCCATTTCCCTTGCCCACATGAGAAATTACTTATATCCAGTAGATTGACTATATATGCAAATAGAATATGCTCCTAAAAAAACAGTGCTCCCATATTACAGAAATACCATTTTATTAATTATATTAGCTGTTGGAATACAGGACTCACCAGATTTGGGGTATGTGATTATGAAGACATCATCATCTCTGATTTCAAAATCATCTAAATTTTCTAAATTTTCAAGATTAAGTTGAGTATTTGCAAAATAACATCCTCTAAATTTGGTTAAAAATTTGTTTGTATCTTCCATATTTCTGTTGCCTGCAAAATACAGATAAATTATTTGAGAGAAAGTTAGTAGAATGTTATAGTCTTCCCTTCTGTATCTTTCCTTTTTAACAAACACAAACATGGGGCGCCTGGGTGGTGCAGTCGGTTAAGCGTCCGACTTCAGCCAGGTCACGATCTCGCGGTCCGTGAGTTCGAGCCCCGCGTCAGGCTCTGGGCTGATGGCTCGGAGCCTGGAGCCTGTTTCCGATGCTGTGTCTCCCTCTCTCTCTGCCCCTCCCCCGTTCATGCTCTGTTTCTCTCTGTCCCAAAAATAAATAAAAAACGTTGAAAAAAAAATAAAAAAAAAAAAAAAAAAA